GGCCGGAGTGTACTACGGCCAAAATGTTGTGATAAATATGGCGACAAAGATGAGGACAATAGTCCGAATAATGTAAATAATGTCATTGTCTTTCTTTAGTAATTTATTTTGATTTATTTTAAGTAGTTATTTCTCATTTTCTTCTAAACATAATTTGAAGTTATTGTTATTGATACTGCAAAGATATACCTTTTACGATTTTCCATTTAATATTCGTACTTTCTTTTGTACTTTCTTTCTGTATCAATGTACGCTTAGAAAGAGATGTGTTATTAGAAGGCCTTTTCTCAAATTATAATGTATGATTTTGATACCATTCATTTGAACTTTTTTCTGTAGCTTTGATATAAATTGTTTCTTCTCTGTTAATAGGAATTGTTACTATATACTGCTGATTAAACATTTATTATGCAGAGGACACTTTTCTTTGTACCTACAGTTGTATGAATTATTATTATTATTATTATTATTATTATTATTATTATTATTTCCTTTGATTTCTGGCGTTTACACATTTCTTTCCGGGTCCCGCCCAGGGACCTAAGGTTATAAATGGCATCATGACACTTTCCACTGACAAAAAAAAAATGACATAGATAAAGCCCTTCGTAAAGTGTGGGCTGTATTTGTCAGAACTATTTTTTGTCTCTCTTTGAGGCATGGACTTCCAGGAATCCCTTCAATTAGTTTACTGCAATCTTTTCCAAGTCCCAGGGCTCCAATTACAACAGGGATTTTTGATGTTCCCATGTGCCACATTTTTTAGATTTCTATTTCAAGGTCCTTGTATTTTGACAGCTTTTTGAATATCTTCAAAGATACATTGCAGTCCGCAGGGACTGCCATATCAATAAGGAGGCACTTTTTTGTTTGTGGTCCTTAATAACAATATCTGTGCGGTTGGTTTTGATTGTTATGTCAGTGTGTAATGTGTAGTCCCATAGAATTGTAACAGGTCCTATCGCCGTAACCGGATCTGGGTGGTGTTCATACCAGTTTCTTTCAGTTTCCTTCCCGTAGAAGTTGCAGATTTTCCAGTGCAGATATTGGCCCACTCTGTCATGCCGGGTTTTATACTCAGTGGGTGCCAATATAGTGCAACCTGATACAAGACGATCAATTGTTTCGGGATATTTATCCCAGATTATTATTATTATTATTATTTTCTTTGATTTCTAGTTTATATATTTATTTCTATCCGTGTCCAAAACAGAGAATTAATGTCAGATTTGGCATCATGACATTTTACACTGAGCATTTTTTTATGGAAAAACCTTAGATCAACACATTACCACTCTCTTTCTTTTGACTTTGGGGATTAGAGTAGAACCTGTTGCAACCTTCTTTGCGTGGTGCACATGGCTGTCTACTTTCTCGGGGATCTTTCCTCTACAAAAAAAAAAAAAAAAAAAAAAACATTGTGACTGGCTTTTGTAAAAGTTTATAACATCCTGAGTTTTCTCAAATGAACAATCAAATCCAAAAGAAAAAATGTTTGAGTAAATATGTCCTGCCGGTGATAACTTGATAGAAGTGAGACATGGCCGCTCAACACAATTCACTGCAGTGACCTAACGTATATAAAATGGAGCAAATCATGCTCAACATCACCTTACGTGACAGATACGAAGGCAGACTGGGGTGAACAACATAATCGACATAATCAAAAATTTAAATTTGCATTATTATCAGTTTTTTATGTTTATTTATTATTTTTTTCTATATTCTAAATGCAACTGTAATTTAATTTAATTTAATTTAATAATATTTCAGATGATAATTTACTATTTGGGGGATAGTGTTTATCGATTAAATTAAAAAAAATAATACCCCTTTTGTTGAGGGGTCGTCATAAGAAGAGTAAAAACACATTATATACTTTTTTTCTATTATTTTATGATTTTTTTTCCGTTTTATATCCCAATTTCGTATACAGGGTGATTGAAAAGTAACTCCTCATTTCAAAATACTTATAATCTACTTATTAACCATAATATATATAAGAAATGCATATGAGACGAAAGTGTTTAGCATTAGGTTTTACTAGCAGTAGAGCTCGGCGTTGCCCGGGGATGTAACAGTAAGAGATAGATCAAGTATCGACCATCATAAAAACTGAAAAATAAAATTGACAAAGATTATTGTTTAAGGTTGACGGACACGCATGTCTTAATTAGTTTTGTTTTGTTTTGTTTTTTGTTTTTTTTACGAATTGGTCAAACCCAAACTCAAACAAAAAAATTGTTTTCAATCGTTATGAATCTACTGATTGAATAGAATTTTATTATAAACAATTGTCTTGAAAATGGAATTCTTAAAGCATTCTGAATGTAAAAATAAAGAAAAATGTGTGCAAGACAATAAGAAACACTACCTGCCAAAAAAGAAGTGAATTTTTGATGAAATCGGTTGAAAATGTAGGAAATCCAATCCCATATATAGACACACAAACAACTTGAGTTTTATAATAAGTATAACTCGATATGAGTTGTCCCCCTTTCATTCTTGCGATGCCTCTTAATCGTGTTTTCAAATTGATTTCGTGCAAAAACAATTGTGTTTTTCCAATTTTGGGCGCTGTCAGAACCACTGCAAGGTAATTTTACGTAGTCCTGTGAAGTTTTGTTGAAATCGGTTGAAAAATGTAGGAAATCCGATCCCATATATAACTACAATTTTCCCATTGTCATTTATATTTATAAATATTGTCTTTTCTACAGTTTAACTCTTAGAAATGTTTACATTCATAACAAATATACATAGATTATTAATTTGCTTTTCATTAATCTTACTTTCGTTGAGTAAAGATAACACATGGCAGTTTTGTTATTAAATTACTGCTGACTCGTTCATGACTACTTTTCACACATTTGTCTTGTCATTGTAGAGGTGTACGCGTAACGTGACCATTGCTAACACAGATGGCGTTTCTGTGTAGCGTTCCAATTGCAGTGAAAGCCGTTGCGTTCGTTTCCATGCAATTAGCCTTAGAAGGGCGAATGACTCCATGTTTGTTTCCTTAATAGGAAGGCAGTACAGAAGAAAGAAAATTCTAAATTTAAAGCCGGTTGGCCATGAAGACAGAAACTCCACTCTGTAAAAACTACTTAATTAATGGTTAATAATGGAGCAGGCTCTAGGAAAAGTACAAGTCTAAATTGAAGGTCGGTTGGGTGTGGGACTGGCAATTTAATTCAGTAAAAAAATCTTGTTTGCTACAGAAACCCCAGAAGGTGTAGCAGCTGTAGACGAGGGTGAGGTCGTGGCCTTACGTTCCATCTGAGAATGTACAAGAGTCTCTCCTCGCACTTGTTTCTCTCGCTTGCACACACACACAGCTATAACACACACACACATACACATACACACCCATAGACATACACACACACGCTTACTCACAAACGCACACATATACATACAAACACAAACACGCACATAGAAACACTCACACACTGCAACTAATATACACACACATATACCCAAACACAAACACGCAGAGGTAAAATCAGTTAGGCACACGCTGAAACATACCCGCATACACATACACACCCATAGACACACACACGCACACACAGACTCACAAATACACACATATGCAAACATACACACGCACACTGAAAAACAGACACAAAAACTCATATACACACACATATACTCAAACACAAATATGCAGATGCAAAAACATATAAGCACAGACAGAAACACATACACGCACACAGAACCACACGCACAGAAACTCACACATACACATACAACCACCCTCACAAATAAACACACACATGCGCACATATACACGCAAACACACAAACATATACACGCACACAGATAATCACACGCAAACAGAAACTCATATACACGCACGCACACGCACTTACATAGACACACACATATACAAACATTCACACATACTTCCGTGTCCTTTAGTCTCTAGCTGAATTCATTTAAAGAGATTTTCATTTAATTGAATTTCGCTTTTATTTGACATTTTATTTTTTTTAAGCGGAAAATTGTTGGAGGTGGGGACTGCTTTTCTCATTCCACTGTCGATCAGATCAACTCCCATCAGATCAACTCCCCTCAGATCAGCTCCCATCAGGTCAACTCCCATCAGATCAGCTCCTCTCAGATCAGTTCCCCTTAGGTCAACTCCCATCAGATCAGCTCCTTTCAGGTCAGCTCCCCTCAGGTCAACTCCCATCAGATCAGCTCCCCTCAGATCAGCTCCCCTCAGGTCAACTCCCATCAGATCAGCTCCCCTCAGGTCAGCTCCCATCAGGTCAACTCCCATCAGATCAGCTCCTCTCAGGTCAACTCCCATCAGATCAGCTCCCCTCAGGTCAATACCCTCTGATCAGCTCCTTTCAGGTCAACTCTCCTCAGGTCAGCTCCCATCAGATCAGCTCCCCTCAGGTCAGCTCCCATCAGATCAGTTCCTTTCAGGTCAGCTCCCATCAGATCAGCTCCTTTCAGGTCAGCTCCCCTCAGGTCAGCACCCGTCAGAATTCCAGCTGATTTTTGGTTTTCGAGAATAATCCGAATCTGAAGAATAAAAATTAAGAACACAATTAAAAAGCAAAAAAAAAAAAAGAAACTCGGCCATTGGGATAATTTCAGGCGTTCCATCATTTTTAACTGATGTAATCCGGGATTAATTCGAAAATTAATCCATCGAATTATTCCGGTATATTGCACTCCATTCAAAGCCCTTTATTAAAATGTCAATGCTCTTAATACTATTAACAACAAAAAGAACATCATGTTCAAACATTTAACCCATCTTGATAATTTTGTTATATGTGATGTCCATGAATACATATGATTTTATATCAGTATATAAAGTCTATGAAAAACATTAATTTTATGAGAAGCAAGCAACACTTTTCAATATGTTTTAAAGGAGATTAGATTCTCTTTTATGTTTTCTCTTACATCAAATATATTTTGAATGAAATGAAACTGAAAAAAAAGTGTAAGGAAAGAAGACCTAGAGAATTTAACACTTACAAGACAAAAATATTATCTTCGAATGTCCACCAAAATGAACAAATAGGAAGAAAAGTACCCTCCTGTGCAAGGAAAGAAATAATTTTTCAGGTCCATACCATAAAGAAAGACGGTCTAGAGAATTTAACACTCACATGACATAAACGAAGGAAAAAGAATGAAGGAGGAATTAGAGATTATCCTACTTGAAAAGCTTGTGTGAATGAACGGATGATCAGAGACAGAGATGGTAAAAGGTTGGAATTGATAAGAGTAACAAAAATTAGGAAAATGTACAGAGACATGTAGAACGTGCAGGTACAAGACACATGAAAATCGAAGATTGCTTATTTGTCCAAGATCTAAATTCATTCAATCTGTGTTACTTGGAAATAATACTTTGAAAATAAACTGAACTGTGTCCAGTGGAAAAGAAATGACTGACTGATAAGGATCCTATATACTCGCGTATCCTGCGACTTTTGAAAACCTTATTTCGAAGCTAATTTAAGGGGGTCGCATCATACACGAGATATAAAATTAGCATATGTATTGCTGGCCTTGCTACGACATTGAGCAAACTATACAACCATTTTCTTTAGTAAAATAAGCTTCAAAATTAGGTCTTCCAAGGTCGCAGGATAAGAGAGTATATACGGTAGATAGATAACGAACATAGATAGATAGATAGATAGATAGATAGATAGATAGATAGATAATAAACTTAACAAGAAAGAAAGAAAGAAAGAAAGAAAGAAAGAAAGAAAGAAAGAAAAAGAACAGACTGTTGTAGATAGATATATAGAAAGAAAGAAAGAAAGAAAAGGAACAGACTATTATATATATATATATATATATATATATATATATATATATATAGAGAGAGAGAGAGAGAGAGAGAGAGAGAGATAGATAGATAGATAGATAGATAATGAACTGAATCAGATAGATAGATACATACATAAATAGATAGATAGAAAGAAAGAAAGAAAGAAAGAAAGAAAGAAGGAAAGAAAGAAAAAGAACAGACTGTGAAAGTAAGAAATAAAAAAAAAGAACAGACAGTTATAGATAGATAGATAGATAGATAGATAGATAGATACCGTATATACTCGCGTATCCTGCAACTTTTGAAAACCTAATTTCGAAGATAAATTTGAATGGGTCGCAACATACATAAGATATAAAATTAGCATATGTATTGCTGGCCCTTGCTACGACATTGAGCAAACTATATAACCATTTTCTTTAGTTTTTCTGTTTTGTGGAACCAGTTGTAACTATGAGCGTATCATCCTCGCTACTCTCACCTTACGTGGCAGTTAGGAGGTTAAACCTTTGCCTGTCCAAGGCATTTTAGTGTGTACTATCCAAACGCTTTATGCTTGTTTTCAGATTTATCACTATTGCAAGGTAACTCAGCTTATTTGGCAAATAGAATGTGTTGATTTATAGGGTTTCACATAATAAAAACCCGTGTATTACATGTGATGCACAGAACGTGAAAATCAAAAGTTATTTACACGGCGCTCTGCGCATCACATGTAATGCAAAGGTTATAATCATTTCAATAAAGGGGAAAAATAGATGTCTTTCATCTGAGAACTTACATTATCAGTCCAGCGTCCTGTGCTCATATATTATGCCGAAATATTAGAATAGGCCTTTTCACAGATGTTCTGATCAATAGTAGACTCTTTTCTTAAGCGTTCTTAGTTTTACCACTCTTTTAATATCATGGCTCGCGGTGCACATAATATAGAGACATAGAAATCACGTGTCCTGTGCATCATATATGCCATTGGACATGCGATTCCTTTTTTGCATCATATGTGATGCACAGGACAGGGAAAAGATTAAACTTAGACACGATTACTGGCTTAAATATGCCGCAGTATTCTTTACACTAAAACAACACATTCTTAATTACCATTCTTACTGCAGTCTCCATAATACCTCAGGTCTCTATGTAGTCGTAACTAATTCCAATATATACAATTTGTCTAGGAGGAATATTAATAACAGCATTTAAAAATGAAAAGACAATGAATATTTAAAAGGAGTACAATTTATAGCAAAGAAACAAAATAGTTAATATTTCCCAAAAAATGCATGATAATTTATTGTACTAAGCTACGCACCCATGTAAAGCCAACGTTACATTGGGCCCCGCCCTACCAATTTGCACTTCACCCCCAAATTTGCCTTCAATCGGTCATTGTACGACTATTTTAGAGGATGTGATGGACGGACGGATTATCGGAAGTCACAAAATTTTATTTACAGATAGATGCCGTTAGGCGGCCATAAATTCGTTTCTCTTATCCCAAAGTTGAGCTCCGATTCGCTGCAGGATTTTTCATTTTTCTATCAGGCATAAATTACAGCAGTATCTGTCTATATATTTGAGATGAGGTATTATGTACAATATTTACATTATTCGGACTGTTGTCCTCATCTTTGTCGCCATATTTATCACAACGTTTCGGCCTTTCAGTATCTGTCTAAATTTCTGAGATGAGGTATTATGTACACTATTCACATTATTCGGACTATCTGTCCGAATTTTAACTTTTTTTTAAATGAACGAAATTTAAAGAATCATACTTATTATAAAACCCAGGTTGTGTGTGTGTGTGTGTGTACGTTTATATATTGGATCGGATTTCCTACATTTTTCAACCGATTTCAACAAAACTTCACAGGACTACGTAAAATTACCTTGCTGTCGTTATGACAGCACCAAAAATTGGAAAAACACAATTGTTTTTATACGAAATCAATTTGAAAACACGATTAAGAGGCATCGCTTTCGCAGAATGAAAGGGGGACAACTCATATCGAGTTATACTTATTATAAAAACCCAGGTTGTTTGTGTGTGTGTGTTCCTTTATATATGGGATCGGATTTCCTACATTTTTCAACCGATTTCATAAAAAATTCACTTATTTTTGGCAGGTATTGTTTCTTATTGTCTTGTACACTTTTTTCTTTATTTTTACATTCAGAATGCTTTAAAAATTCCATTTACAAGACAATTGTTTATAATAAGATTCTATTCAATCGGTAGACTCATAACGATTGAAAATAATGTTTTTGTTTGAGTTTGGGTTTGACCAATTCGTAAAAAAAACAAAACAAAAAAAAATAATTAAGATATGCGTGTCCGTCAACCTTAAACAATAATCTTTGTCAATTTTATTTTTCAGTCTTTATGAGTTTGATGAAAAGCTTCTTAAAGCAGCCCTTGAAGAAAATCCTGCTTTAACAGTTGTGAAATTGTCAATGGTTCTCAGTTCAAACCAGAAAACTGTTCATCGTCATCTTCAACAACTTTGAAAAGTTCCTAAACTTGGAAAATGTGTGCCTCACGAATTGTCTGAAAACAACCTCTCAATCAATCTTTCCATTCTCGCCAACTTGTTTCACCTTTTTGGATAGACTTGTGACTGGCGACGAAAAATGGATCTTTTATCGAAATGTTAAGCGTCGTAGACAGTGGATTGGTAGGGCAACAGTCCGAACAATGTGAATAGTGTAAATAATTACAATACCTCATCTCAGAAATATAGACAGATATAGAAGAAGGCCGGAGCGTAGAACGGTGTAAACGTCGTGAATATGGCAACGAATATGAGGACAACAGTCCGAACAATGTAAATAGTGTAAATAATTACAATACCTCATCTCAGAAATATAGACAGATATAGAAGAAGGCCGGAGCGTACAACGGTCTAAACGTCGTGAATATGGCAACGAAGATGAGGACAACAGTCCGAACAATGTAAATAGTTTAAATAATTACAATACCTCATCTCAGAAATATAGACATATATAGAAGAAGGTCGGAGCTTACAACGGTCTAAACGTCGTGAATATGGCAACGAAGATGAGGACAACAGTCCAAACAATGTAAATAGTGTAAATAATTACAATACCTCATCTCAGAAATATAGACATATATAGATGAAGGCCGGAGCGTACAACGGTCTAAACGTCGTGAATATGGCAACGAAGATGAGGACAACAGTCCGAACAATGTAAATAGTGTAAATAATTACAATACCTCATCTCAGAAATATAGACATATATAGAAGAAGGCCGGAGCTTACAACGGTCTAAACGTCGTGAATATGGCAACGAAGATGAGGACAACAGCCCGAACAATGTAAATAGTGTAAATAATTACAATATCTCATCTCAGAAATATAGACATATATAGATGAAGGCCGGAGCGTACAACGGTCTAAACGTCGTGAATATGGCAACGAAGATGAGGACAACAGTCCAAACAATGTAAATAGTGTAAATATTTACAATACCTCATCTCAGAAATATAGACATATATAGAAGAAGGCCGGAGCGTACAACGGTCTAAACGTCGTGAATATGGCAACGAAGATGAGGACAACAGTCCGAATAATGTAAATATTGTAAATAATTACAATACATCATCTCAGAAATATAGACAGATATAGAAGAAGGCCGGAGCGTACAACGGTCTAAACGTCGTGAATATGGCAACGAAGATGAGGACAACAGTCCGAATAATATAGATAGTGTAAATAATTACAATACCTCATCTGAAAAATATAGAAAAATGTAAAAAAAAAAAAGTTTATATAAAAGATGCTTAGTTTTTTTTGTTTCATTAAACCATTCCAGTATTCTAAAGAAGAAATCTTGCAGATTGTAAAAGTGTTTTTTCGTTCCAATCACTTTTTAGCTTTCTTACTGATTCCGTTACAAAGTGTTTGCCAGATTAATTTGGGGTCTATAAGAATTCTACATTGGTCGTCTCTTTTTCGTGTTTGTCATTCCGTCTCGTCGCCTGCGAGAAAACTCTTTTGATGAAGCCATTGTCGGGGATTGGTAAAAAATGTCATTCATGGATTCAACCATCAGTTCCCTCCTTTTAATAAAAACAAATTTGGACATCTACAAGAATGTTGACGAGAGAAAACAAACACGTATATATATATATATATATATATATATATATATATATATATATATATATAGTGCTGTTCGATAAAAAAAACTCACCTGATTTTTTTTTTTACTAAATGTTCTCTTCTCCGATGAAATGAAAGTCGAGCTAAATTCAAAGGATAAGCGATCTAAAATCCGAAGAAGAAGCTTTGAAAGCTCTTTGAATTTAGCAGTAAGTACTGTCAAGCATCCGTTCAGTATAATGTTCTGGGAATGCTTTTCTTTTCATGGAACTGGTTTCTTAAAACCTATTGACAAGACCCTCAGGAGCGAGCAGTACAAGAGAATTTTAGTCTTGTCTGCTCCCTTCTGCTGAAAGGGTGCAAATTGACCCCACCAATCTCATGGAGCATTATAAAGTACAGGCTCTCGAGAAAGCAGTTGAGCAATATACTCCATAAGTTTTCTATGTCAGGAGATTATGGCGGCCATGTGATAACAATCACCTGCTTCTCATCAAAGTATTTCTTTCATCAATTTTGATTTGTGACAGGGAGCATTATCCTGCATAAAAATGAGATTTGTGGGGTCGATTTTACAAAATGATGTCAATTTTGGGGCACTATATATATATATATATATATATATATATATATATATATATATATATATATATGCAGATATCTTTATTTCAAACATGTTTCGTTGAATATGCCAGACAAAAAAAATGTTTTTTTTTTTACTGAGTTTTTCTAGAATTCTTCATTTTCTCCGTTTGGTGGGTGTAAGAGATTGTAAAAATTCTCCATCGAGTCTATTTTCTCAACGCTTTCGGCCACTTCAGACACTTTCAAGGGATTTGTTTTTAAGTGTTAATTTTTTTTCCTGGTTTTATTTTACGATGTAATGGAGTGACGCCTACATAGTCGTCACGCTTATTTCGATCCCTGCGGAATGAATGTGGTTGAAAATTGAGTTGAGTTATCCTATTTATAAAAAAAAAAGAAATTAATACATTTTATTCGTTGTTAAATAAGGTGAGATTGATACTGGTTGCCAGATGTTTTATGTAATGTGCGAGTATCACATCGAGATATCTTTTGTTATAGGATTTAGGAAGGTTTGATTGTGTTACCAACCAGATTTTTCCTTATGAGTTTTTGTAGATTGTGAGTGGCTAAATGGATTTTCATGGCGCATTCACCACAAGTGATATGGGAAGCGTCTGCTCAAGGAGGTAGTGGTGTGACCGATATAGCTAATTGATTTATGACAAAAAAGAGTGTTGTACTGAGCAGTTAAATTGATACACTATATTGGTCATCGTAAGTTTCCCGTGATTAACGACTGAAATATGGTGTTTAATGATTTGTCGAATGGTAAATTTGTCCTGTTTGTAATTATTGGGAATCTGGTTACAATAAATTATGATGATGTTTTGCGATATTATAGTACTAGTGTCATGTATTTTTGTAAGAATAATTTTGTTTATCGATGATGCAACTGGGAAAATTATTGGCTGACCACATATGGAGAGAAAAGGGAGAGCCTTGTCCTCTGTGGGATCAGGTTGAGATCATAGACAATGAACACCATTGGAAAATTCGTAAACTTAAGGAATCAGAACATATGCTAGGTCACAAAAATCTCCTGAGCCGACCAATCATAAAAATGAATACAATATGGAAACCAGTAATAAGGAGTGTCAGAGAAAAGCGATAATGACAACAAAAATTACAATATGAGCTGTGGTAAAAAAAAAAAAATGCAATGATAATTGCAAAAATTGCAATATGAGCACTAGTAAAACAATTGGTTGCTGAAGACATTAGGTTTATAATACACAGAAATCCATGCACAGATGTCCTCAAGGACACATGGCACAGTTGATAAAGGCGTTGGTTAGATCCAAAATTTTATGGCTAAAGCGAAAGATATTTTGAACGCAATTGTATGCCTTCAACTACAGATAAAACATATTGTTGGTTATTTTGCTTTAAATATGTATTGTTGATCATTTTAATATAAATATATATTGCTGGAAATTTTTACTATGCATAGGTTTTCTTGGCAATATTTTTATGTAAAATTTATTGCAGGTATTTGTACTGTAAAAATGTATTTCATAGTGTTTTCTTTTATTGTTTGGTGGGGGGTTATTATTTGCCCATATCTGGTACTGTTGTAGTGTAGTTTTCACAGTGGAGGCTTGTATTTCACTAAGTCGGCCCTAAAATAGGTTCGACGTACAAAACGTTAAGAACATGATATAATAGTTATGACGCAGAGTAATCTAGTTGTGGTCGCTGATACTTTAGTATTCGACTAACTGTTGTCCAACATCAACTGACTCACCGACTGACTGGCTGACTGACTCGTTACTCTTACTACTCCTACTTATTATAGGTGGGAGAGTCTATTAACTATAGAATAGGTGTGTTCCACTATAACACATACTATATACATCTTGGAAAATAAAGAATATTACAGAACTGGTACCAAAAATATAGTTGTGGTGATTGATACTTTAAGGTCCGATATCGACTGACTCACCAACTCACTCTGAGCCCCGGTGACTGCTACTACTACTACTTATTATATGTGGAAGAGTCTATTAATAATAGAATAGGTATGTTCTAGTATAGCAGGTACCTTAACAGGTGCTATCACGCCGGGTCAGAGTGGACCAGAGGTGGATTCATGTTCCACAAAAACTTCAATCGCCAGATCAAAGGCCTTGCTGCAGGATGTAGCTTATTGGCATACCCAAAACTAAGATATTGAGGAAAAAAAAAAAGAAAGTCTGGTATTTTCATTTTTAAGCTGTTAGATTTTCATGGGGTCCATGTCCATTCGACTTGTTAAACAATATATATATATATATATATATATATATATATGTGTGTGTGTGTGTGTGTGTGTGTGTGTGTGTTTATGTGTGTGTACGTGTGTGTATATATATTTCTTTATATATATATATATATATATATATATAACACTGTGTATATTTCTGTATATATATATATATATATATATATATATATATATATATATATTTATATATATATATGTATATATATATATATATATATATATATATATATATATATATATATACCCAATGTGTGTGTTTGCGTTTATATTTCTGTATATATATAAATATATATATGTGTGTGTGTGTTTGTGTGTGTATTTTCTGTATATATATGTGTGTGTGTGTGTTTATGTGTGTGTGTGTATTTCTGTATATATATATATATATATATATATATATATATATATATATATATATATATATATATATATATATATATGTGTGTGTGTGTGTGTGTGTGTATATATATTTCTGTATATATATATAAATATATATACAGTGTTTTGTAATTTGTATATTTCTTTATATATATATATATATATATATATATATATATGTATTTTTTATGTTTATGTGTGTGTATATTTCTGTCTATATATATATATAAATATGTGTGTTTATATATCAGTATATATACATAAATATATATGCGTGTATGTATGTTTGTGTGTATATTTCTGTATATATATGTGTGTGTATTTCTGTATATACATATATATATTTATATATATATATATATATATATGTGTATATATAAATATATATATATATATATATATATATGTGTGTGTGTCATCGATTAAAGAAGACTATTAAATCACGAATATATTACAGAAAAACGGAACATCAAACAACGAAGAAATAATTAAAATATAAGAGCATGTCTAAAAATGTTAAATGAAAAACGAAATTAGATTTTTTTTTAAATATTGAATAAAAGTAATTTGATGGACATGAAGAAAGTAAAAGAATTAACGTAAAAACTGAAATGATTTTATGAAAAAGCGGAATCGATAAACTGAAGTAGAAAGAAGAATTATTGAACTGGAGTAAATGAAAGACTATGAAAAGGATGCGACTGTTTAATTAAAATGAAAGAAAACACAAATATAGAACGTTAAATAGGTTACAAATACAAATAAAAAAAAAGAAAATTGGAAAAAATTGAAAAACGAAAAAGAAATGTGAGAGAAAATTAAAGATGTTAGCAAACGAAAAAGATAGAAAAAAAATTCTGCGAAATGAATAATTTATATGACATTCAAAGATAGGGAGTCAGTAAAGAGAGACTAAAGAATGAGTCAAATGTAATGTAAAGAAGATATTGTGTGATTGATTGACGAGGACGGTAGAAATGGAGAGGAGGAAAAGAAAGAAAGAGGAAAGAAGAATAAAGGACAATTGGGAAAGGGAAAAGAAAGAAAGAGGCAAGAAGAATAAAGGGAATTTGAGAGAAAGAAAAGAAAGAAAGAGGAGAAAAGAATAAAGGGAATTTGAGAGAAAGAAACCGTTAGAAGAAAAATAAAGAGAAAGGAAAAGAAAGAAAGAGGCAAAAAATAAAGAGAAATTCATAGAAGGAAAAGAAAGAAAGAAACAAAGAAAGAAAGAGTCAGAAAGAATTAAAAAATCGTGAGAAGGAAAAGAACGAAATAAGCGGAAAGAATAAAGGGAATTTGAGAGAAGAAAAAGAAAGAAAGAGGCAAAAAGAATAAAGGAAAATTGGGAGAAGGAAAAGTATGAATGAGGCGAAAAACATAAAGAAAATTTAAGATAAGTAAAAGAAAGAAGAGGACAAAAAGAATAAACGAGAATTGAAAGAAGGAAAGGAAAGAAAGAGGTAGAAAGAATAAAAGGAAATTCAAAGAAGGAAAAGAAAGAGTCAAAAACAATAAAGGAAAATCGAGTGAAGGAAAGGAGCGAATGAGGCAAGAAGAAGAATATGAAATTGAGAGAAGAAAATGAAAAACGGAAAAAGCAATGAAGGGAATATATATAAATACCTAGAACATGTAGATCTTCAAATGAAGCCTGATGGAAACGATAGAAAGTGTCAGAAAAAATAAAATGAAATTGGGAAATGAAAAAAAATGAAAGTGATAAAAAGTATAATGATCCAACACATATCTTCATTTACCAAAAGAATAAAAGACATACGAAACGTTTATCTAAGTACTATTTCTACAATGGAGAATCCGACTGTTGAAAAATTATGTATTGGTAGTACTAAGATTTCTTTTGATACGGGGTGGTATGAACATATCTTATCATTTACCAATAGTACTTATAAAAATAGTACACGTCTTTCTACATATTTTTTTGGAATTTTTTTAGGTATTTTTAAAATTTTCCATTTCCCATGGAAAATTTTAAAAATACCTAGAACATGTAGATCTTCAAATGAAGCCTGTTTTCTATGCTTACATGAAAAATGAGAAATTATCAGATTTTCTGATAAAAACGCCTTTTTTAAACCAAAGAAGTGAATTGACTTTAAATTGTAGGCATAGTCTACTTTTTACCATACTATATGTTTAAACTTTAAAATTTGATAATACTTTTTCTTATAGTAATAATCAGTAGATTAACTCCGATGCACCTTATATGGATTACCATTTTATTTGTATGATTCATATTGATTTAATATTGCTTTGTATTGATAGTTAGTATTATTAACATGTTATATGGATGTACAGGTGTTTAGTTAGTATTATTATTATATGTATACTATTTATTCAACGGTTGTATATTAATTTGCCAAAGTAGTTTTGTATTTTTTATCTGTTTTTTTTTCTTAAAGGGGCCTTTCATTTATCAACTACAACATTTTATGAAGGAAGCTGACCGAGTATATAAATAGTTAGCAGTATGTTAAATTACCTCCTCACCTCTTTCGCTTTTACTTCTTCGGAAAGTTGAACGCCAGACTTCGATATATCTTACGAAATAATGTAAACATTTCTATCTGTCCATAATATAAATTGTCTAGGATTAATATGCAGAAAACTTCGTGTCATTACCTATATAATAAAAAACTTTTTCGGTGAGCTTGAATTTAGTGAAGTCAGATTCGATTGGTTAATCACGGCAAAGCTCACAATCCTATTTTTAGGTTATTTTTGAAATTTAAATAATGGTTCACTCGCCAGTAATTTACCATTGTCCATGGAAACATATTTGTAGTCTTGAAACATGTTACGGACATATTTGTTTGTTATCGAAGTCCTCTTATGGTTTTGGAAATAGACCCCCATAACCATATATACACTGAAACTACATTACCCAGGGTACTTCAATAAGTATACTTCATTTCGATCAAAGGCTGTTAGGGGGTACACCAAACCGACAATTTGTTTGCCTTTTGATTTAAATTAGATTTAAATTTGAACATAATAATAATAATATATTTTTATCATTATTACATTATTAGTAGTATATTGTCTCTCTCCCCATCCCTTACATTCTTTCTAACATTGACCCTCTCCTTGATTTTAATATTAATCTCCTAATATTAATTATTATTAATTTTCCCACCCCTCCCTTACATTGCAACTACTCTTGCTTTGCTCCTCCCCTTTAACCGTCAGTCCCCTTGAAAAGGTTTAAATGAATAAACAAAGCGTTGGGGAAACACTATTAACCTCTACTGTCTGAAGAAACCTCACCGGTAGCATAATATGTTAGTAGTCCTTGATTTTAATATATATATATATATATATATATATATATATATATATATATATATTATTTAAAAATATGTCATCGCGACACAGAAAATACCATGTTTAGAAATCAAAACCTAAATTTTGAATTAAACTTAAAATTCGAATTTCAGTTCCATTTTCAAGCGATGCTGAATAACTTTCGAAAAAATTGACTTATTCTATTTAAAAACTAAAGAGTAATACTTACAGGCTTAAATAGAGATCCCTAACGACGGTACTTTGGCAAAATGAAGTGGGATACTGCACAGACATTAAACTCTTTAAATGCAATCTCAATCGTTATCTTCTGTCTTCTTAATTCTTGTTCTTTTATTGTTCTCTCTTCTAAATAATATTTTTCTTATATTCTCTCAAGTTCAGAAACTCCTTGCATATTGGTGGCTTGTTTGTTGATTAATATTAAATTAATAAATAAACAAGAATTTTTTTTCATTCATACTTTATTACTTTTTACTATTTAGCGACAACTATTTTCATTCTTTTTATGTGCCAATTCCTTTCAGGATGTAGGCGATCAGGGCTCTCCACCCCTGTATATCGCGTACAGCTCTTAACAAGTTCCTCCACCCTGCCATCTCCCGCAGACCCCGTTCTGTCATCCACTTACTCTAGCCTCTAGGTATATCATCGGTTGTTTTCCTTTGTCTCACTTTCCCTCTATTCGACCCGTGAGTATCAGATTCTCCAGGCCATTCTTCATCATTATGTGTCCCAGAAACTTCGGCTGCCTCTTTCTGATGTTAAGTATAAGCCTTCTCTTTTTTTGCATCCTCTCTAATACTTCTTCGTTGCCCACACGCTCGGTCCATGATATCCTTAGCATCCTTCTGTAGAACCATACCTCCGCCGCCTCGAGTCTCTTATTCATCTTTGAGGAAATCATCCAACTTTCTCTGCCGTAAAGAAGAAGAGATGAAACGTAACTGCTCAGTAGTCTTTTCTTTGTTACCAAAGAAATCCTCCTGTCTTGCTGTACTGTGCAAAATTTTGAAATGTGTCTTTGGCCATCCCAATACGTCTATGGATCTCAGTGTCGCACTTACCGTTCTCTGTGAAAACGCTTCTCAGATTTTTCAACGGTCGCGTCTGATTGATTCTAATTTTCCCGAACTGCCAATCGCATTTCGGGCTCATCCGTTTACAAATGGCCATGCATTCTGTTTATGTTTAGTCCCTTCTTCTCACTCTCCGTCGCTAACTTCTGTAGGATATTTTGCTGTTTCTTTTCCTTGTCTACCATAAAGTACTACTTCATGTGTGTATCTTACGTATATTACTTCTATAAACCGACAAAGCCAGGCTTAAACTAATACAGATAGGTATATCCAAAAAATGGCTGACAAACAAGGATACGTGCTGAAAGAAAGCCCAAAACTTATAAAAATAAAGTTTTATCGACAAAATATTTCTGTCATTATTAAACATCAAAAACATTTTGCTGTAAAAATCATTTTTTATCCGTTAAAGTATCCTAGAAATTTTGCTAAAATATTCTTTCAAATATCAGATAATTATTAGTCCTGGATATGATGATATGATGATGAATTACATCCGGAAACAAGGCATCTGATCAGGAGATTTGAGATTATGAGGAGCGTGGAACCACCTCTTAAATGCTGTTGTTCCCAGGTCCACCTCCTGACCCGGTCTGGTAGCAACTTTTAGGGTCCGAGATATAGTCAAAGAGTAAACCCCTAAACCAAAACAATACCCAGGCGATCTGTGGTCAAAATGACAAAGCTCGAAAACGCTTTGACTTTTTCTACAGTTGCATTTAATCAGTTTCTTGTTCACATTCTCGTTAACAAATGAGCAACTACTTTTGAGAAGAGTTCCAAGATAAAGGGAAATAACTCATTTTAGTTAGAGTGCCTGCATTCCCCTCTTCAACTTCTCCACTGCCTTAACCGGGTACTGAACTCGCATTCTTTGCGTCCTGTCATTTGAGGGCACATGGCACAGTGTTTCTGTTAGGCAGCATATTGGCATGTCAGTACACGAAAAGCTGTATTACATACTACTTTATATTCTTTTTACAAACTCCATATCTTTTAAGTATGCTTAATTTGATTTAAAATCGCCAGACTTTCGAAGCTGTTACTTGAATAAAATATAGGAATACAGTTTGTCTGCAACAGCAAACAACCGACGCTAGTGAACAGATTACGGAAAAACGGAAAAACTTAATTAAAAAATATGGTGACAAAGATGAGGACAATAGTACGAATAATGTGAATAGTGTACATAATACCTCATCTCAGAAATATAGACAGATCTGTCAATATGGGCAAATTTATGGATTTTCTTTATAAGGTAAAAAAAAGATTCTACTCAACCTAAATTCGATTTGAAATACAACAAAGTTTATTGGGAATATTAACTTTAATCATTTAGACTGGAATTAAAATTAAAAATACATCTTCAAGAATTTTTTTTAATTCTTAAAAATTTATTTTAAACTTAGGTATGGCTATTTTTGTAGGTACCTAAATAAAACTGAATTAAAAGATAGACAACGCTATGAAGCAAATAGAAACTCATTAAATGTTTAACTTTTTCTACAATTTCATTTAATCAGTTTCTTTGTTCACATTCTCGTTAACAATCGAGCAACTTCTTTTGAGAAGTGTTCCAAGATAAAGGGAAATAACTCATTTTAGTTAGAGCGCATGTAGCAGTGTGAAAACGAAGAAATAAACAATCTTCAAACACGGCTATACAAATTTAAGTATATTTTATCAGTGAGTATTTGTTTTCTTTCAAATTGAAAGAAACGAATTACAAAGATCCACACGGAACAATTTCATATAGAAATATTTTGTTTGTCTTTTTTTACAATACAACATAATTAATTGCGGTAGTATGCCAGAAAAAAAAAACAGAAAAGTAGATGGTCCTTTTGCTGAAATGAAATAGCTACATTTGAACAGATAGAATAACATTTGCATCTATCAAAAAACAGCGAAACTAAACGGCCGCAAGTGACACGTTAGGGCATTATTTTCGCGAGAATCAATTTCTAGCCTATGGCTTCTTGAATGTCCACGAAATGTTTCCGCTTGAGAAAATAGTTTGAACTTCAGTGTATCTCTCGTATCTCTGCAGTGGATTCTGCTGCCGTATCTGGCCTGGTGCTCCTGATATTTATCTGTAGGTTCTTGAAAAAAATCCAAGGAAATAATCTGGGCGCCGTTCCAGCCAGCAGAAACGATAAAGTTCTTTTCAAGAGAATACTCTTCTCATCCTTTACATTTCTTGATGTATTTTTTAAACCAAAATAAATTTGGCAATATATTATTTCTACTCCCGTTTTGTTTTTGTTTTTTGTTTTCTTACGTCATTCAGTATCTATTTGCCAGCCAACATACCACCGGCAACAATTCCACCTGTTGTCTCTGAGACAAGACA